AATATATATATATTTTTAAAACACAATGCTTAACAGAGCCTTGGACTATGGCTTTTGTGTACTAGTGGGTACATTTCTGTAACCATAATCCTGAAACCGCTAATAACAATCCAGTAGTTCCTATAGCAGTTCCAGTATTTCTTGAGTTTATGTATCAGTAGCACTGTGTTTGAAAAGCCTGGGTTTAGAAATTCTACCTTTTAAAAATTACTCAAAATAAATTAAAGCTATTATATTTGTTGTTTTCTTACTGTGATTTTTTTAACTTTTATTTTTCATGGTGCTCACTGTTTAGATTACAAAGAGATATGGCTGGCTGGGACAAATGGGACCGGCATTGGTCAGTTCAAGATTCCTCACAGTGTAACAGTGGATGCTTTTGGACGGGTAAAGAATAAAGGGAGATTTTTTTTTTTTTATTTTTATTTTTTTCATCTTTCAACAGACTTGTTTACATGTATTTGACCAAAACAAATTGTATTTCTTTTTAACTGAAATGTTGTGATCTGAGTAATTTTTATGTGATAACAGTTTTCAGTGTGATAGTGGTCGTGAGCTGAAGTTTCATGCTGCAGATGCTACTGAAGTAGCTGGCTGCAAGGTTAACACAAGGGTTCTGACCAGTTACATTGTCAATGCCCATCCAACAACAAACTCTTCCTCCTGCAGTTTATACAGCTTGCATTGTGAGAGTACAGGAGAATTATGTTCTGTAATAAATATCAACCCAAACACGTTTCTTCCAGTGACTTTAATTTCATATTTGGAAATTCTAAATAAGCTTAAGATGATAGTAAGGATCTAGCTAGGTTGTGGTCATCAGTCCTTTTCTACATGCAGCCCAAGGCATTCAAGAGTCTACTGCCAAATGTGAATTGTAGTCTGGCTTTTGCTCTGTTGCTCTTGTACAGGAATTATGTGGTTGCTCCTCAATGTGTTTCAGGGAAAATAAGATTGCTTGACTAAAACATCTTAAATCACTGGTTTGAGCTAATTCTGCTGGTGCTGTCTGAATCAGAGGAAGAAGCATATATAAAAATCACTTCTCTGCCAAAACTGTCAGGATGGGAGGGAGAAGAGAAGGGACATGGGCGCTTTGTTGAAGGGTAACAGTGAGTATATACATTCACAGATAGCAATCACAATGGGCTACTATTTTATTGCCAACGTGGTGTTGATCATCAGCCTAGGTTAGAAATAATTGTCAATTCCTCAGAAATCTAAGAGACTGCTTTAGTAGCGTTTCATTTAAAAATCGTGATGAAGGAAAGTTGGCCTGAGATCTTTCATCCTGATTATTAAATGAAACACTATTAGGGCAGTCTCTGAGATTTCTGAGGAATTGACAATTATTTTTAACCTGATGAAAGCCATGAAGTTTACTTATCAGACTGACGAGTTGTCACCAGCTAAAATTCAATGGCTGTAATGCAAGAGAGGCCTTCACTGGAACTGTCTAACAGTATTGCTAGCTTGCAGTGTTTGTGAACCCAGTTAGCTCAGGGTGGAACAGAGATAAGCTCGACAAAACATGCTGAAAATGCTCTTAGTGTTTAAGTTGCTCGATATTTATAGTAGTATTAGGCAAATCAGAGGTTTTGCAGATGCAGTCGTCATAGGACTGGATCGTAAAATGAGACTACTATAGAAAAACAAATTCTTAGCAGGTGACAGACCAGTATCATTAGAATTAAATAGGTGGGAATATGTCCTCACTGGCAGGGGGGAAATCCTACTAAATATATCCATATTGTAGTCACAAAAATGAAGAGAAGGTACTGATTTCTCTGTTAAAGTAGTATAAAATAATTTGTGTGTGTTAACTATGTGGCAATTTTGTTTTATATCTGGAAGTCACATCTACTTACGTAGTTTTGAATGTGGAGGTACATTCTTCCAAGGTGTACTTCTTTTTTACTACGGGATACTGTGCTCGTGTAAGAAACTAGTGCGTTTCATTTGTTCTATTTGTGAACATCCATGATTTTTGTTCTTAACAGGTATGGGTCGCAGACAGAGACAACAAAAGAATCCAAGTTTTTGATAAAATCACAGGGGAATGGCTTGGGTCTTGGAGCAGCTGTTTTGCAGAAGATGGACCCTATTCTGTCAGGTGTTGAACAGTTCTTCTAGAAGCATACAATTACATAAATAAGGTGTACTCTTACTGGTGAATTAAAATGTTGATAGTTAATGCTTGATGACAAGGACTTAACCAGTTTAACTAATAGGGTGCTGGACCCTAATCATATGCAAAGATATACACAGTTGTATCTTGACAGGGAAACCCTGGCTTTGTAACAAGCCCCATGGATTTGAGTGCAGGATTTGGAGCTTAATTTTCAAGTTGTTGTGTGTTGTTGACCTCACTGTTGCAACTTTTAGAGGAAGGGAGATTGTCTTGAATGAGTTTTCTATAGCATAATCTGTCTCAAGGAGCAGCAACATGTAGAGCAAGGCTTACAAGTTAATTGTCAATGTTTCACTGCATTTAGTCTCTTGTAGCCTTCAAACCCTTGGCTATTAATGAGGTTTTTTTTTGTTTTAAAGTGCAAGATTGTGTTAAAATGAGATGTCATATGGAGTTTGTAATTCAGAAATATATTTCTGTCTTTCACAGATTTACTGCCAATTACAAATACCTGATTGTAGCTCAGATGAATATCAACCGGTTAGCAATCTTGGCAGCGCCACCGGTTGGCTCTATTGGGGACTGTATTATGGTCAACGCAGTCCAGCTGGCAGATGAAACCAAACCACACCTTGTGGATGTAGACATGAAGAGTGGAGCAGTCTATGTTGCAGAGATTGGAGCCCAGCAAGTACAAAAATATATACCCTTAAGCTGATGGTTTGCCACAAGTCCTGTGGCACAAGCTGTGTGACATGTAAGACCTATGACCACATTTCCTTGAGTTTTCTGTGGCTTGTGTTTCCTTAGACAAGCACAGAACATTGTACTCCCAGAACTGCAGAGCTAAGAATCTGTCCTAGCTGTTCTGCAGTCCTGGAGAAGTACTTGGTCTGGAGCTGTTACTCATTTTAGTAATGCTATGGTGGCTTTTGCTTTTGTTGCTGGGAATTGTAAAATGACTTTGATAAGTATCTTAATTTTATTATATAAAACTTTACAAACACAGCTGTTGTTCTTAAATGTATAGGGTCATCCTGGGGCTGCTGTACTTAGCCCGTATGTGGTGTTAAATGAAGGTCAGAGCTGTCTGAATGAAGTGTATAGATTTCCTGGGAGGCGAACGCCTCATTATGTTTCTTCACTTTTTTTTTTTCTATTAAATCATTGTACTGATACTGAATATAGGGATGAATTATGATATTGAATAAGGTGCTGCTGGATACTGGCATCAGTACTGTTGCTGGCATCTGCCTTAGGTGGTTAATAACATTAGCATTGAAATACAAGTTTTCAGCTCTAGCTAAATGGTAAAGTCTGTAATAAGCTGTTGTGGTTTAACCCAGCCAGCAGCTAAACCAACCACACAGCCGTTTGCTTGCTCCACCCCCCCCACAATGGGATGGGGTGAGAATCGGGGAAATAAAAACCAATAAAAACTCTAGGGTTGAGATAAAGACAGTTTAATAGGACAGAAAAGGAAGTTGGTAGTAATAATAATAATAATGATAACAATAAAAGAATATACAAAACAAGTGATGAACAGGTGAGGCTTCGGGCAACGTGGTCTAGTGGAGGGTGTCCCTGCCCATGGCAGGGGGGTTGGAACTAGATGATATTTGAGGTCGCTTCTAACCCAAGCCATTCTGTGATTCTAACAGCACAATTTCTCACCACCTGAAGCTGATGCTCAGCTAGTTCCAGAGCTGCCTTCCTTAAGTTAAATTGATATCAGGCACTACAAACTAACTTAAAAGTATGTGCAGGGCAGCCAAGTACTGATTTTTAACTAAATCAATTCTTAACTTGATTTGATTTATATCAGCATGAGTTTTCTGTTCCAGAAGACTTCATAGCGGAACATATTGAAGTTCAACTCATTTAAGTTCCTCAAGATAAACAAATTGCAATTTGCCAGGAAAGTCTTAATCGGCATTAGGGACTGTGAGACCCGTGATTTTCTTCCAATTTTATTGAAGCTCTGTTGGTTAGCAGCAGCGCGTCTGTTTTGCTTTGGGAATTTTTAACTATTTTGTATCCAAAACTTAGACTTTATCAACTCCATTAATATCTAGAGTTAAGTTTCTTATGCTGTATCCTAGCAGATGTCTCCAAGCTCTGTCCTAAAAAATGCCATCTCTTTCTATTCCCAGTCCAGACTGGTTCCATTTTGTTTGCACGTTGCTACAAGATTTTAAGTTAGTTCACTTATAGCATAGAGGGAACTGGGTGTAGGAAAGTGGAAAGGGGAAAATGGTATGGCAGAAATGAGACAGTGAATAACTGATGACCTCTGTAAAGCTGTGGACCCACATTCCATATTTATCTTGGGAGGATTTTTGCTGTTTCCACACAGTTACTCTACTGTGTGGACTACTTTAAGGCTAATTACCAGCTAAGAGAGGCAATTTTTTTTCAACTTCCTTAGAAAGGGAATATGGGAAATGGAATTATTCTGATGTGAAATAACCACTTCAGTGAATGTTATCAAAAGCAAACGCATCTTAATTTGGCAGATTTCAAGCTAGAATCACAAATTTCTGGGTCAGCAGATGGGAAAAGTGTCCAGAAAAGTCAGATTCATATTTTCTGTAGAAAGTAAGTCAGCTGTGGAGCCTGATGGCCTGATTTCAGTACTATTTGAGATTAATGCACTAAATACGACAACAACTTTGTTGTTGACTACATCCACAATAACAAAAGCAGATCTAACCTGGCTGCCCTCATGCAAGCCGTAGAACCAGAACTTCAGGGTTATACACTAGCAAATACAATCCATCATTCACATGGTCTTGCATGGGAGCCAGTAAGCAATATTTATTAGCTGAAAAAGTAGCAGTACTTCCTCTAGACCTAGATGTACAGGTCCACATTGCTTTGCAGTGTGTTGTGTGGATTTTCTAACTAGGTCTCCACTAGCTCAGGGATCTCTGCTTTGTGTGCAATTTAGCTATTTCTCACCTACACAAGGTGGATTTATTTTTAAAAATATTATTGTAATATCATTAACTATATTTGAGTTTGTCTTGGTGGCGTAAGGGGTCCAGGCACATCCATCCTTCCTCACCACATCGTCTCCTTATTTATTTTTCCTTTGTCACATCTATTTGAAACTGGACTCAAAGCTCTCTGGGAACATGCTTCTGTGTTCAGTAAAGGATTAGTGCACTTTTGGATGTTGATGAATAAGTTATTTCTACAAGGTTCTGTTTGCTGCATGGATCTGCTCTCAACTCTCTTTTTACATAGGCTTTTGCAACCCCCAGAAATGGGCAGCATTCATCCTGTTTTGCCTGGCTTTATTGAAGTAGGCCATGGTGCCAAAATGTGCCTTGCCTCTCTAGGCATTTGGGTATCTGTGTTAAGAAGGGATGCTCGTTATTAACTAGTATGAGATGCTTAGACTCCTTTTTACCTCTGGTGTCTGTCACCAGACTGAGAAAATGATTGATTTGTGCGCTAACTTGCTAATTCTCTGAAGGTTTTCTTATGTATCATCTTGAAATTGATTTCTGAAAAATTGCATAGTAGGATAATTTGATAAAATAAATTGAGAATTTCCTGTTATGAAAGGCTTGAGTGCTTTATTTCTGTACTAATATTAATACTTCCATTGCAATGGATTACTTCTTTAAATGTGGGGTTCTTAGCACTTTAGTAAGGTATTTAATAATTTCTGATACCAATATTCAAATGTAATCTAAAATTTCATGTTATCTTTATACATTAGTATTTCTGTGGCCCATCTCTTACACATTCTGATTTAGGTATGAAAGAAGGCACATAAATCTCTCCCAGATGTATTCCTCAGAGTAATTAGTAAAATGGTATGATGAATTACATAAGTACCAAGTATTTAAAGTGTGTACCCTTTTGATGCTTATAAGGGAATTAAAAACAAACTAACAAAACACTTCTTCATATAGAATCAGGTTTTATTTCCAGAAAAGATTCACTGAGCAATCTGTTTTTAGAAGGTCAAGAAGGGACTTCTGTATGGGTTAGAAATACTTGCACAAGAAGAAAAATAACATACTACAGTGTTAACTGGACAAGAAAGAAAACTTAAAGTGATTGCTAGAATGCCCCAGAAAAATCTAATTTTAGTTAATAGGTGCCAACTTTTTAAGTGTGATAAGTAATGACTGGAGTATCCAAGTAAAGAAAATAGGACTATTCCATGTTTTGATGTCTCAAATTTGCAGACATTTGGGGGCTTTGGGGGCTCTTTTTTTTTTTTTTCTTCATTGGTCCTTTTCTTTGGATAAGTACGAAGATTGTTAACTGGATGACATTCCCAAGAGGTAAAACCAGGTCTATTAATACAGTTCATCTTTAATTTTTTTCTGTGATGCTAACCAGCCTTTTTTTTTTTCTTTTTGGTGTTATCATAGTCAGCAATTGATTAACAGTATCTGTCTGGCCAAAACAAAAGAAGCCTGAATCAGGTTTGTGCCATGGAAGATCAGTTTGGTGAGGCTGAACTATTTCAGTAAAAGCTGGAGAGGAAGGTGCTTGTTACTGTAAGTTCACTGCCTTAAAGTGGTTGTTAACCTTTTTGAAGCATTAAGTAATTAGTTATCTTAGTTGGCACTTCCTTAACAATTTGTAACCTGAGAAGCATTCACAAGTGATCCATCACCAAGTGAGGGTTTGCAGTCACTGAAGTTGCTTGTATAAAACATAGGAGGGCACCAAACCCCTGCTGATGCTTGGCATACTCAGTCTAGCTACATACCAGCAAATGTAAACAGCTGGGAATTTCTGAACATTTGGAGTAAGTCAACAAAGATAATGAATTGCTCCAGACTTCCTTTCTCTTTTCAAAATAGATTGCTTTAAACATAAGCAGATAATTGTATTATAGTTGTTTTGTCTTATTACTACTGGATTTATGTCCATCTTTTATTTATTTCCATTGTTTTTCCTAGGGAAAAAAACCCCACAGTAATTCAGTGTCCAGAGACAACTGGGTATGGTGAATTGCTTCTTCTAGTCTTTATGTCATTGATTTCAATGGAATTACTCCTGATATGTTGCTCTGGGAACATAATAATTTATAATAGTATAAGAGTAGCAGCATGATTATACTAAGAGAGCAATGCCAGTATATTTTCCTACAGAAGCGACCCTGAGTGAGATTAGAGCTAAGCTTACTGGATCTCATTCATCAATTTTATTCTACTCCTCCTTTTTCAGCCTTTGTCTAAAAAACCTTACTCCAATTTTGTATTATTATTTTATTCTACTTTTTTGGGGAATTGCATCTGCAAAAATTGTATTTGCCAGCAAAAAGCTTGAACACGGACTTTTCTTTGGTGATTCAAAGTATTTGAATCTTTCAGTGTTCATAAAACATCAAAGTCATATTGCTTATATGAAATATGAAAGTAGGAGCATATTAATTTATGCACACAGGATGATTTGTTACTGTGTTAAAGCCAAAGTAACACTGATTCAAATGAGATATTGAATAGACATATTGTATCATAAGATCACATGTTAGGAAGCTGGGGAAACCAAATATTGTGTGACTGGATCTGCAAAACAGAGGTAAAAAACTTTGCCCAGTTACATCAGGAATAAGCCTATTAATTCTGTCTGAGCTATGATGGGATCTCTTACAAACAAATTAAGATTTAAGAAATCTCTTGAATAACTAAGGTCTATATATTTTAATCCTTCCTAGTAGGCAATAAACATCATTATAAATGGAAA